CATATATGTTGTGGTTAAGTGTCGTCAAGTCAGTTTAGACTCATAGCAACCCTGTATTGGGTTTCCAAAGAGTGACTAGTGAGCTTGAACCATCAACCTTGTGGTTCAAACCAACCTTGCAGTCCAGTGCATTAAATGACAGTGTCATACATTAAAGTCTGAAGCAAACAGTATATTCAAGTAAGAATTAATTCTGGTTTTTGTGCCAATCTGCCCAGTCTTGGGAAAGTCACACTGACTGGCCAACTAGGAACCAATCACCTATATCAAGTATTAAATTCTAATAAGCTCATTAAATATGATTGTGGTAGTTATGTGCCACTGAGTCGGTTCTAACTCATAGAGACCTGGTATAGGGTTCCTGAGGCTGTAAATCTTAATAGGAGCAGACACCCTCTTCTTTGTCCTGTGGAGTGGTTGGTAGATTTGAACTGCTGACCTTTTGATGAGCAGTCCAGCTTGGAACCCACTACATTACCAGGGCTCCTTTCATTAAACATATGTGGTTTCATTCAATATGAAATTAGCATACATGAAGAAAATCATTAAAAGGACATTTGGATTAATGTTAAGGAAGACTATGATTTTAGTGGTCGCTTTAGGAAAAGCCATCCAGACTGCATGAATTATAATGTCTTATTTCATTTCAGTCCTGTTGTGGCACTGTAGGATAAGCACCGGACTGCAAGGTTGGTTTGAACTGCAAGGACAACAGTTCTGTTCCACCAGCCGCTCCTAGGAAACCCTATACAGTGTTGCTATGAGTTAGAATGACTCAGTGACATTAACAACATTTCATTTCAGTATGTAATTTTGGGAGGCTTCCAATTGTTGTTGTTTTTAATCATTAAAACAACTCCATTATTTATTTCCAAAAAACAAAATCTTGGTGGAAGAGATTAGGTACTTAAAAGAATTCATTTTATGAAAGTAAAATGTCCCAAGCATACTGTCAAACAGGTGTGTTGATATTCTTTGATTTGAAACTATTCATTTTCCTTTTTTTCTTTTTAAACCTCTGAGTCATTGCTTCATGTTGTGCTAGTTCTTACTGACTTGGGGATAGGGTAGACTGCAGTAGGTACAGATAGGAAGCAATTTAAAATAGAATGGGCCACGTTTATTTTAGAACAGCCTTTCATTACTTAAAACATAAGGAGCTCTGGTAGTACAATAGTTACGAATTGGGCTATGAACCTCAAGGTCAGCAGTTCGAAACCACCAGCCATTCTGCAGGAGAAAGATGAGGCTTTCTACTCCTGTAAAGATTTACAACCTTGAAAACCCTATGCAGGGTCACTGTGAGTCACAACCAACTTCATGGCACATAGTCACCACCCCTGCCACTTAAAACATAGGTGTTATGGTAAGATGTGCCTTTTAATCCTTCATTGGCTGTGTAGCCAGCCCTGTAAACTGCTTTCTATTCATCAATAAAGGTAGATCAAAATTAATGATAAAGTTAGATCAGGGAAAACAATTTCTTACTATTAGCTTCTTACTGCTTTCTATTTTTTCCCCATCATATTTTTGTCTTTATGTATTTCAACAGTGATTCAGAATGTTACTCACAGGGCTTCAATGAAATCCCCTGATAGGACACCCTTGGGAGGAACAATAGTAGGTGAGTCAATCTTGTAAGGGTGGCGCTGGACTGGTCAGTGCTTAGGGTTGTGCATAGGGTCTCTATGACTCAGAACTGATTCAGTAGTATCTAACAGCAGTGACAAATCTTGAAATCTGTGCCTATGTCTAGCAAGTCTGGTGATCCTTTGGTATTATGGCCTTTACGCAGTTTTGCATTGTGAGCAGTCTGTTAATTCAGTTTGGGTTCATTTCTTTCAGTATTTAGCATACAGTTATCCCACTCTGGGAACCAAGAGGTTGCTCTATCAGCCAGGCTGTGTTCAATCACGGTGTATTCAAGGCACAGCTTTAGCCCATGCACAATAGGAATGATGGAGCCCTTGTTATGTGCCCTCCAGGATTGTTTTTTAAAACAATACTGAATTTTTTAAAGAAACATACTGAATTTCTCTTTAAAAATTATTGTTAGTAGTAATGGTGTTCACTACACAGCTTAAGCAGCCATTCTACAAGTTTGGAGTCGAAGCCAGAGGATTTGTTCTCAGAATATGAAAAAAGAGTCTGTGTCATATTTTTTCAACGTTTTAAAGTTTTGGTTAAAGTTAAGTAAAATAAGTACAAAGCTTCATAGATTCTAGTCTTTGAAAACGCTGAGCTTTATTTAATGAAATGATGCATTTTCTTCCCTTATTGATCTCACTTGTTTTCTTGCAGTCCAACTTATTGTTCCAGGTCTTAATGACACAGCCATAAAACTGCCCACATCCATAATGTTTGAGATCACGGATGCAATCAAAACACAGTTGGGTAAGCAGTCAAGTTCTATATTTGGACTTTGTAATGATAGAATGGAGTCTCTTGATGTTCTGTTGCCAACCAAACAGCTGGGCATTCAAGTCCACCAAAAGGCACCTCACAGGAAACACCTGGAGATTTACTTCCAAAAACTTAGCCTAAGGAGCACAGTTGCACTCTGCCACACACAGAATAGACTTTAACTGCAACTGGTTTTAGTGACTGAATACAAACACTGACTCATAATTTAAGATATCCAAAAAATCTTGCAAGAGCTGGTTGGGGGTCTCAATGTAAAAGTAAAGAAGGATAAGGAGGTTGGATATGTTAACAGAAATCTCATCTCAAAGCTAAATAAAGTTACATTTTGTGTTTTCAATTTATATTTATAAAAGAAGAGTGAACATTTGTCAAATCATCTAAAATATATACATTTATATATGTATCATTTTAAAAGAGTTATTATGGTAATATACTTTTTATACTATAATACTAAGGGCCCCATACATATTTCATGATGTAAAGGTCAGATTTATTACAGTTATTATTAACGTGAGATTAACACTGTTGCTTATGTTTAGAAAGAACTGGATATAATTTCAGTGCTAAATCAAAATAAAGCATACAATTAAAAATAAAACAGTAAAAACCACTTAATAGAGTCCCAGGGTATAATTGTGGTGGTCACTATTTGGAGTTAGCTAGGAGCTCTGGTAGCGTAGTGGTTATGAATAGGGCTGCAAATCTTAAGGCCAGCAGTTCGAAACTGCCAGCCACTCTGTGGGAGAAAGACAAGGTGGTCTGCTCCCGTGAAGATTTACAGCCTCAGAAACCCTGTACTGGGTCACTGTGGGTCGGAACCAACTCGACGGCACTTAACAACAACAACTGCATTTGATTATCATTTTGGCTATGCATTGTCTCTATAGGACCAGGAAGATGGTACACATAAAACTCTATACCATGCAAATGCTGTGCTCCAAATTCAGTGCCTTCAGTAAACCTGTTTTTGGAATTCAAATTCAGGATTGTTGCACTTAGCTGTTCTTTACCCAGAACTTGTATAATTTACCCTGTGCCTGGGAAAGTGTTGGGAAGAACTAAAAGGAAGCCGATCAACACCTTACTGATTTGGTTTCTAATATGTCCACCAAAACTATGAAACTCAGGGTTTGTAAAGGAGACTGAAAATCAGTGTTTTCTCCCAGTCCATTGTTATCCATTTTGAACTGAAAGATACTCCATTCCTTAGTCTCTCAGTCTGAATGGTATTTCTTTTTTTTTTTTTTTTTCCAGAAAATTTCACATACTGCCTTAATTCCAGTTCAGATTTTTTAAATTTATTGATCTAAGTGAATATGAGAGGACTGCAAAACATTCATGGAAAAATGGAATTAAAATATAATGTAACTTTCCCATGTACTTTCTGAAGTCCCCTCATGTAGTTGTTTATTTATTTGATTTTTTGTGCTTTTTATTCTCTTAAAGAATGAGTATGATGTGCATGAAGAAAAAAATATTATAAGTAGTAAATATCCTCCTTATATTTCTGGAGAAATTGACACATGGCTAATTTCTTATCCATTAAAGAGGTGGTAGCCAGTATTCAAGGAAAATCCTATCTGCCAAGTGTGCCATCTTAACAGAATACATTTTTTTAAATATTACATTTTAAACTTACTGGTTAAAAAAAAAAAAAAGTGGGTATAAGGAGTTTATTATACTTCCAAAGGAGAATAAACTTTTTTGAAGTTAATTAGGTCTCACTAAAATTCATTAATGTTATAAGTTTTGAGAGGATAAATTCTAAAAATATTATCTCAGTTCCAGCAGGGTTCATCACAGACATCAAGACATATAACAGCTTTTGTTCTAAGAACACTGGTGTGAATAATGAGAGAAATAAACAAGAAAGCTAGCATTACACATACATCTCCAAGGGACATACGAAGGGTTTGCCAAAGAAAGTTATAAAGGAGAAGGGAAAAAAGATATATTGTACAGTAGAATTACAGAGGTAAAGAAATTCCTTGATTTTAGGTCGCGTTCTCATGACTCAGCAGCCATTCATCGAAAACCCTATACAGAGTGGCTTTGAGTCCGAATGACTCAATGGCACTTAACAACAATTGCCAAGACTGTAACCATACAATCTTAGTTGGTGGATGCTCTTTGCTTAATATTGGGAGACACAAAGACTCCTCCACTTAAATATCTTCCCCATCTACCAGTTTCTGTGAAGCCTGAAATGTCGTTATTTGGAAATAGAGTACTGTGTCTTTAAAGGAGTTAGACCCCCTTCCTTAAGAGCATTCTAATTCATACCAACACTTTAGAACAGATTAGAATTACACCATGAGGTTTCCAAGGCTGAAACCTTTATGAAAGCAGACTGCTACATCTTTTTCTTGCAGAACAACTGGTGGGTTAAAAACCTCAAACCTTTCCACATAACCAAACACTTAACAATTTAACCAAGCACTTAAACCACTATACTACCAGGGCTCCTATAAGGCATTGTTGTTAAGTTCTGTCAAGTTGGTTCCAACTCACAGCTACCCTATATGGGGTTTCCAAGGAACTGCTCGTGGATTTGAAGCACCAACCTTAAAGTCCAGTGCTTATCTGACAGTGCCACACCAGGACTTTGTAAGCTATGGAATTGATGATGTATGAAAAATACAAATATCCTTTAGGAAAGTAGTGGCCATGTTTCCTCATTAGCAGCTTAATTTTAGGCCAAGATGGCTCCCAGCTAAAGGCATGCTTTGAATATAAGGAATTTAAAAAGCAAAGCAAGGCAGAGCATTGCCTGTGAAAGTCTTGATTTGGAAGTTAAAAAAAGAGGCTAGAGTCAGCTAGAGTCAGCCAAGGAAACACTGAAAATGGAGGTTATTAAATGGGTAGTGGAGGACTGGCAAAAGTGCCCTGAAGAAGGAGAGGACTTTAAAAAGAAAGAGATCATTAAAGAAAAACTTAATAATTTCTAAATAAAAATTTTTTTTAAAAGATACCCTATGTTATAATTAAGGCGCTCTGGTAGCATAGTGGTTACGAATCGGGCTGCTAACCTTAAGTTTGGCAGTTCGAAACTACCAGCTGTTCTGCAGGAGAAAGATGAGGCTTTCTGCTCCTGTAAAGATCTACAGCCTCAGAAACCCTGTGCAGGGTCACTATGAGTCAGTACCGACACCACGGTACTTCTTAACAACTACAATGGCATAATTAAGGAGCTCTGGTAGCATAGTTGTTGACTCAGGCTTCTAACCTCAAAGCCAGCTGTTCAAAACTACCAGTCGTTTGGCAAAAGACAGACGAGGCTTTCTGCTCCCGTAAAGATTTACTGGTTAGGAACACTAGACAGGATAGCTGTGAGTCAGAATTGACTCCATGGCATACCACCACCACCTTGACATGGTTGGTGGTGGTTGTGTGTCATAGTTGTTGTTATGTGCCGTGGAGTCGGTTCCGACTCATACCGACCCTACACAGGGTTTCCAAGGCTGTAAATCTTTACCGGCAAAGACCGCCTCATCGTTCTCCTGAGGAACCGCTAGTAGTTCGAACTGCTGACCTTGTGGCTCGCAGCCCGATTCGTAACCACTACGCTACCAGAGCTCCTTGTGTGCCATAGAGTCAGTTCCAATTCCTAGTGGCTCTGCATAGGATTTCTGAAGCTGTAAATCTTCACAGGAGCAGAAAGCCTCATCTTTCTTCGGCAGAGCGATGGTAGATTCTAACTGCTGACTTTGCGGTTAGCAACCCAACTCATATATGTTATGGGTATATGCTAACAATTAGCAGACCATAACACATGAAAAAATGTGAATTCTGAATATTTCTTCCTGTGCTAACAACAGTCAGAATGATTCTAAACAAAAGCTATAAAAACAGGAAAAAAAATATTGTTGGTTTCTGATAAAATTGATACGTTTAAAAATAAAGTATACAGGATTTTTTGTTTTCAGTTACTGTTGAATTAATCTAAGAATAGTGTTACAGACCTCTATGTTGCAAATATGATGTACAATGGCATATTCACATGAATCCTAAACACACTTGACTAATTGGTGCCAAGTGCACTCCATTTGTGACACCTATCTCTAACATTTTATATCGTTCCTAAAAATAATAAATTCTATGTAAGAATCGATGGGTGCCTCCATCAGTAATGTGGAGTGCCACTGAGTTGACTCTGACTGGTAGCCTGCATCAATAGAGATTGAAAATTGATTGGCTTTTATAAATGTGAAAAGAATGACTTTATAATTGTCTTTAAGTCCATCATAATAAAAAAAAAAATATTGTGTGTTTACTTTAAAAGAAGAAAGTAGTCTTTATTTCACCGTCTGGATTAGAGAAGAGGAACAGCTTTTGTTTACAATAATTATATGAACTACTGAAGGAGGCTAAGGAGCTCTGGTAGCGTAGTGGTTACGAATTGGGCTGCGAACCTTAAGGTCAGCGGTTCGAAACTACCAGCCGCTCCGCGGGAGAAAGATGAGGCTTTCTACTCCCGTAAGGATTTACACCCTTGGAAACCCTGTACAGGGTCGCTATGGGTCGGAACCGACTCGACGGCACTTAACAACAACAACTGAAGGAGGCTAAGCATTTGCATTCTCAAAGGACTTTGAGAGAACAGATTAGATCAGTAGTTGTTAATCATGGATGATTTTGTCCCCTGGGGGCATTTGGCAAAGTCGAGTATGGCACTGTGGGTTAATGTGCCAGACTACAAAACTGTTTGAACTGCAAGGTCGGCAGTTCAAACTCATCAGCTGCTCCTTGGAAACCCTACACAGGGTCGCTATGGGTCGGAATCGACTTGACGGCACTCAACAACAACAACATAGACATTTTTAGTTGTCACAGTGGAGGAATGCTACTGGAATCCAGTGGGTAGAGGGCAGAGATGCTATTTAAGTATCCTAGTGCATCAGTGGGCTCAAGCATGGCAACAGTTGTGAGGTTGGCCCAGGATCGAGCAGCGTTTCATTCTGTTGTGCATAGGGTTGTTATGAGTCAGTACTGACTCGATGGCACTTAACAACAACAACAACAGCAACAGTACAGTCCCACAACAAGAAATACCTGACCCAAAATGATGAGTTATGAAGTGGAGAAGCTCAAGAAGTTCTGCATAGCCTTAGGACTTGAAAAAAAAATCTCATTTAATTACATGAGTATTATATTAAATACTTTCAGCATTTAATCTGCTCAAGTTAGCAAGATCTCAAAGATGCATGAATTCTTACTTCTTCAGTATGTTATTATTGCTTCAATATATTATAAATAGGTCATTGATTCAGTGTGTTAAATAACTGAATATAATTCATACTAAGCACATTTTTTAAAATGAGGAATATCTTAGTCACTGTGAAAATGATTTTAGAAATGATAAATGTGTTTTTCTTTGGGGGAAAAAAAAACAAAACCTCGGTTTTAGAAGCTTTTCCAAAATGGTTGCCTGAAGAGGGAAATAAAAAGAAAATTTTCTCTATTCTTTGTACTGAATTTCCACAGACTCTGATAGGAAAAAATCCATGCTAACATGTGGCTCAAATAAAAAATCAGTTAATGTTGGGTTTGGGGGTAGTTTTTTGTCCACATTGTTTTCAAATAAGTTAGCTTCCTATGTGTAATATTTTGTGTTTTTATATTTCAGTGTTGTGACCTATGTATTATATTTTTTTGCCATGCTTAATAATGGAAAGTTTCTATTCTTTAATTCTTTTAAAATTAGGGGTACTTTAGTATAAGTTTCCAGATCATTTAAATTATAACGTATATCTTCCAGAACCTCTGTTGTGAATATGAATGACCTGGGACATATCCAAGTATTAGACTGTGATTTCTTCCTTTTATTTTAATGCCAGTTTAGATCTTAAAGAACTAGCTAGAGAAGAAACTCTAGTGATGAGGAACTCAGATTAGTCCCAATGAAGCTGTTGAATGGTGGGAAGGCATAAGGGTAGAAGAGATTCTGGAAATAGTTGGGTATTTGGTTATGTTTTTAATGAGCTGGCTTTGGACATTGTATTAACGGAAAAAGTGGTAAATTGTTTTTTCTCTGACTTCTTAGCTAAGAATGAAACCCTGGCATTACCTGCTGAATCTAAAACACCAGAAGTAGAAAAAATTCCAACACGGCCTGTAACAGGTAACAAGATCCCTGTCTTGTTAGTTGAAGTAAATAACATAGTTTTCAAATAGCAGATGATCTACCAGTCTGTATGTTTCTTAGTGAAGTCAGCAAGAAACTCATTTTGATCTTAAGCACAAACAGTAGAAGATTCCAGGGCTTTAACTGAATTTTTAGAAAGACAACAGATACATACTGACTATTGAATCATATAGCTAATGCACAATATTGAAGCTGTGTTTTCATTTGTAGTAAAAGTGTTGCTACATCAACATTGTGAAATGTTTTATATGAAAAGATCACACCATGTTTTTAGTGCTTTCCTTTTCTATGAAGACATTGAAGACCATTTTCCTTCCTTTCCTCTCAAGTGTGCAGATCCTTCACAAACCCATAATTTGGTACCAATGAAAGTACCTTGGAATAATTTAGAAACAAGCGTCTTGTGAAAGATTTAGGATCCTAATGTAGAATTTAGGGTTTGTAAAAACTTTTTAAAGAATAAATGTGGCAAGCATTTCCCCCATAGTTTATCAGTTGTTACTAACAAACATTCATCATTTCCTCTCTGGATGAATTACACAAGTCCAGCCCACTGAGGAAACATTGTTCTTGGGATTACAGAGTTCTTGCCAAAGCAATAGCACCTCATCCAGTAATCAGTGAAATGAATAGTTGGCAAGAATTCCCCGCAATTCACATTTAAAGAAGTAACTCTACATGGATTTTTTATAGTAAAATTGCCATCACTTGCAATATCATTGGATAGAGGCTGGTGGTGAGACAGAATAGTTTGATTTCAAGAAAGATTATTTTTTTCAAAAAAGAATATTTCTGACAGAGCAAGATGTGTATGGTCCTGCTTAAAGGAGAGAGATGGGCCTTCAGCCTCAATTTCAGGGGGTCAGGGCAGAGGTAGAATCTATTCTAACTGTTGGAATAATCCATTAGGATCAAAATTCCTAGGTAGTTTTATTATGATTGTAACTATTATTATTTCAATAGAATTTGTCAGTGTCAAAAAAAAAAAAAAAAGGATAGACTTCTGCCTCAAAAATTCTACCCTATCTCCCCACTTTTTATTTTTTTCTTGGCACAGTGTCTGATGGGAGAGTCTACAAATTTCTTTGTTCTCTGCCAACCCTGCCTCAGAATTTTCCGAAAAGCTCAGCTAAATGCAATATTCAGCGTTGTGCTAATTTCATGTCGTCGCCCCTCAAAATTCTTAGGCGTTCTAGGTCTAAATATATTCTAAATCTCAGTGACCTTGGTTTTCAGTTTTATAAAACTATTTACCTGAAGTCTTCTTTGCCTTTGACCTAGTATTTGGTTCAACCCTATAGCTAAATATTTGAATCCCAATTCCAGTCTCTGAATCTTGGCTTCGGTTTGGAAGAGCGAATTCTTAAAATAGCTTTAAACAAATTTTCCTCACCTAGTCCTTCTTTTATCTGCTCATTTATTAATCCATCATTATGTGTTTATTATATCTAGACATCATGCTTAACCCTGGAATTAAAGAGAAAAAGGCAGACAATTAAAAAAATTAGGATGACCGTGATAAATGCTTTAATGCACGTCAGGTCAGTGAGCATCTAGCATTCGGATTTCCGTAGATAGAAAGTGAATGCAATTGTAGCGAGGAAGCTAAGGGAGGAGTGTCAGCTTAGGCACTCCTTAGGACAAGGTTAGCACAAGCCAGGGAGCCGGGAGTCTTAATAAGCAACTTGAAGGGAATTAAATGTGCAAATATTAATTATGGATTCTAAAGGGCAAGAGAAAATGTCTCATGGTCTTTGGTTTATCTTAATTTGTAAAGCTGATTTTGTTTACTTTTCAGTGACTCCGGAAACCATTCCAAGAACCACTAAGCCCACTGTGTCTAGTGGATTAGGCATTTCAGAAACAGTACTGGGTAAATCTAAGAACTTTTCTTTCTTTAAAAATAAATAAATACATAAACAAAAAGTCCTTTCCAACACTCATGGAGGAGAGAAGAGTAACTTCAACATCTTAGCTTCTTTGTTCTTCCTCCCACCCCAATCTTGCTGTGAATCGTCTGCTGCTGCTGTCCCCCAAATGGCTGACCTTGCAGTTAGCAGTCCAATGAGTAACCCACTATGCTACCAGGGCTCCTTGATAATAGTATGTTGTTGTTATTGTTATTAAGCACTGTGGAGTCGGTCCCGACTCATAGTGACCCTGCACAGGGTTTCTGCGGCTGTAAATCTTTACCGGAGCAGAACACCTCATCTTTCTCACACAGAGCCGCTGATAGTTTTGAACTGCTGACCTTAAGGTTGGCAGCCCGACCCTACTTGTAACCACTATGTTACCAGAGCTCCTTTGATAATAGTATACTTGCCTCTTTTGGGGGCCAACACCACTGAATGTAACTAACATGCTGATTACTGACATTCTAGGCAAATCTGAATGCTACCTGCTAACTGCATTCCTTTTTGCAAGACCCTTGGGTTGTATGCAAAAACAGAGTACCAGACTTTTGACCCTCCAAACTTGAAGGGATTAGGAAAACCTGGAAGTCTTTACTATGTGCTTTCTGATTAGATTGTCGTTGGAAGTCTTGTGCATACTAAACTTGGAGAGACCCCCTCCCCCAAAACTGGGATTCCTTTTTATAAGAATTTCGTGCAAGAGACCCAAGAGAATCTAAGTTGCTTTGTTGTTCTCGTACTCTGAAGAAGAAAAGCAGCATGTATTTCATTCAGTGTAATGTTCATCTTCCATGCCATAGCTCTTCCCTTTAAAAGTCAGCCTTCAAATTTTTAACAGCTATATACAAATTTTCCAGGGAAAACCAGTCATTCCCATGAAAGTCATCATGCATGGTATACAAATGAGTCTTTGTTATGAAGCATGCTCTGCATGGTCATGGTTGAGCCATAATGTCAAATCCTGAGACGGAATTACTAACTACATTCTTCTTTATTGTAGTTCTCAGTGAAAGAACCTCAGAAACGTCACAAACTATTCTAAAACCTAGGTTTGAATTGCCACTAGGCACTCAAGGTAAAAATTATTTAACTGTGCAGTATTATTATTGCCTTGGGAATTTTATGCGTATTTGTCAAAAGTCCTTAAGCTATTTATCTCCTCCCAGGAAAGAAGGGACAAATGGCTTATAGAAGAATAAGCTCCCCAAACACCCGTCCTTAAATGTATTAAAATATTCATTTTGTAATTAAAGATCCTGAAGTGACCCTCCTGAATGACAAATCCTTTGGCTTTTTCTTTTTGGTGGCCCTTTACTGATATTCTGCTTGATTCTTTTAATTCAACATGGTTGTTTGAGTAAACAAATTGATACTTTCTATATTTTTCCTAAATGATTTTACTCTGTTGCCTCTTGACAGGGAAGATAAATTTATGATATTTCTTCAGACTGCCTCTCAAAATGCCTTTAATTTGTGTGTGTGTATGTGTGTGTAATATGAAAACATGGGGTGAGGGAGCTTAAAAGTAAAGCCATATAGTTATTGAAATTTTATTTTTAAGATGTGGTGCTGTGGGTTAATGTGCTGGACTGCAGTTGGTTTGAACCATATGATCAGCAGTTCAAGCTCACCAGCTGCTCCTTGGAAACTCTATACAGGGTCACTATGGGTCAGAACTGACTCGATAGCACTTAACAACAACAACCTTGTATAGATATTTTGTTGTTCAGATGTATATGTTGCTTAGATTGAATTTAAAAAGATATATCTAAGTGTGAACATACAGATAGGTGATGAAATGAGGAAACTAGTTTAATAAGATTCCAAATTCCACAAATTTAGGCACTATTTTTGAAAAAGGAAACTTTATGATATTAACTAGCATTGAAACGCAGCAGTAAGAAGTACTACTAAAGATGTCTTACTTGACATGAAAAAATTTGCCTATTTTTGTATGCTTGTTTGTGTTTTTGCCAGCTTGAAATTTTAAAAATCTTTTCTTTGTTACTTACACCTCAGGTTATAACTTTTCTTGTGTGTTTCATTCTAGCTCCAAACAGACTTCCAGAATTTCCTTGGGCAAAAACACCCTTCCCTTTTGAGAAACCTGGGGACACCTTGGGTAATGACAGTCCCTTAAATCTGGTGTTAAGAATGCCGGTTGTAATTGTTTAATTCTGTGGGATGTGTTTACTGACTTTTGTCTCTTTAAACCACAATAAATTAGTGAAGCATGGCCAAAGTGGTGGCCTGGGTTAGAAAAAAAAGTCTGCTTGTGCTTTCTACACATTCAGCAGACATTGTCAATCTGTTCATTCCTTTTGGGTAAACCCATATAGCTTTCTGTCTTTTCAAATGTTAAAAGTATAACATCAAGATCCTGTCTCTAACACCTCAGCAAATACTCTTTGGATGGGTGCATATTGATTGATTTCTCAATGTACAATGATTTTTAATTGGATCATTATATGCTCTTTACTCCAGGCTACTACTGATTACCACTTAAACATACCAATAACATATTTCAGTCTTTCATGTCTCTCAAAAAGTCTTCAGAAAATTCCTTTTTTTTTTTTTTTGCTGTAGCTTCAAGTGAAAAGCCTTGGATCGTGCTCACAACTAAAATGTCTGAGGATTCCAATATTCAGCCTCAAACTGGTAATTGCGTTCTTTAAAAAAATGTAATAACAATATTATCTTCTCTTGTTTTTATTGTTACATGTTCCTAAATCTATTATCAATATATTGTATAGTACATAGAAAAGCTCAAACACATTCTTCACACTTAAAGGAATCTTATTTCTCCTGTAATACAAAAAAGCAAAATTATTTTTCAGTTGTATTAACTTCTGGATATATTCAGACTAGACTCCTAACTACAAATTGGCTCATTGATCTTCTAGAGGTCTCTTCAATGGTATGTAGTAACAAAAATAGGAAGCAGGTATTCTACTGTCTTCATTATCTAGTGCTACTATAACAGAAATACCACAAGTAAGTGACTTTAACATACACATATATTTTATTACACTTTAGTAGGCTAGAAGCCCAAATTCAGAGTGCAGACTCTAGGGGAAAGCTTTCTCTGTGTGTTGATCTGGGCAGAAGTCCTTGTCACCTTTTAGCATCTTTATATTTCGCATTCCTTGGAGATTACTAGGTGTTTAGATAACAATCTTCCCCTGGGTCTACAACCCCAGATCCAAAGGAAGTACTCCATTCCCAGATCTTCTTTCTTGTTAGTAGAAGGTAGGTCTCTCTGATCTTTGCTTGCTTCTCCTTTTATCTCTTATAAGATAGAAGGTACCACAGGCCACAACCTGGGAGAACTCTACAGCTTAGGCTGGGTCAGTTTGAGGGCTATGGTGTGCTTACTCAAGCCATGGTATGTTCAATAACCTCATATGCATGTGAAAGTTGGACAGTAAATAAGGAAGACCACACACAAATTGATGCATTTGAGTTATGGTGTTGGAGGAGAATATTGAAAGTACCATTGATTGCCAAAAGAACAAATTGATCTGTGTTGGAAGAAGTACAGCTAGAGTGCTCCTTGGAAGGCAGGATGGCCAGATTTTGGCTTTCATACTTAGTATACATTGCCAGTATCAACAAGTCACAGGAGAAGGATATCATGTTTGGTAAAATGGAGGGTTGGAGAAAAAGAGGAAGATTCCCAGTGAAATGCATTGGCAGAGTGGCAGTAGCAATGGGTTCAAACATAGCAATGATTGTGAGGTTGGCCCAGGATCGAGCAGTGTTTCATTCTGTTGTGCATAGGGTCACTATGAGTGTCCCGACTCGATGGCAACTAACAACATACATATATACATATATATGTTGTTGTTGTTGTTAAGTGCCGTCGAGTTGGTTCTGACCCATAGCATATATATATAAATATATATATATATATATATAGTATTATATTTATTATATTAAGTTTATATCATATTAAGTTTATATCAAGAAATCGCTCATGATTGTAGAGATAAGAGAGTCCCAAGTGCAGGCCAGGCAAACTAAGATCAGTGGGCAGACCCAGAAGGCAAAAATCCCAAGTCGGGGCAGGGTGGGATCTTGGCACTGGAGCAGGGGGAGCATCAGGGTGATGGGTGACCAAGGCCTGGACAGGCGTGCTGCAGCACTGTGGAGCACACAAGCCTGGGTGACAGAAACAGGTGTGCATCTGGTTTCCAGGCACATTTTGTGGGCAAGGCCAGCTGGCAAACAAACAATAGAACAGGCCACTGGCTCAAGTTTAAAGAACCAGAGGCTGGAAGATGACCCAGATGCAAGATCCAGATCTAGCAGGAAAGAGAGTGAGTTTTTTCTGAATGTCCATTACATTGGAAGCAGGCCACACCTACAAGAAAACATCCTTTCGATTGATTGGTTGCTCATAGGCAATTATCACAGAGTAAACTATCAACTGCCAATCAAGTTGACATAGAACCTTAACTATCACACGTCCCTTATATTGGATCAAGGCTGTGATAGTATTAAGGGTGTTACATCCTACCCTTATTGTTTGAACATTTGTGTACCACTTTTGGTTATAAAAGTCTATATGAAGATTCTACCTTTCATGCTGAATATTGAGATCCCTGAGTTATTTATGTCAACAATGGGACAGGATGTTTGGAATCTGACATATTTTATGAAATCTGGGCTGTGTAGTTGTCAAGCATATTCTTCCCCACTTTCAGCTTATTTGCCCCAATCTTTATTAGTAGTGCTTCATTTTGTGATTGCATTATTTGGAATTACATTTTGTGTTAAACCTTTCAGAAAGTATGGTTAAGTAATTGATTAATTTTGATTCCTTTCACAAATCAAAGTTTCCTTAAACTATGTAAGGCAATCATAAATATCTGCTCTCCAATTAACTATCAAGATGTACAGTGATTTGTAAATTCTATATTTAAGAGGTTGAACAGATTTTAGAAACACCTAAGTATTAATGAAAATTATTCAGGAAAAGTCAGTCTTTCTGATGATGTAATAGAATTGGTCTTAGATCCCATTAGAAGGTGACTAGTCATTATGACTTCAGTGTTACTACAGAGGATGTTGGCAGAATTATTCTATTTCATCCTCACTGACTTTAGTGGTTAGTGCGTAAATTTGAATAACAGTGGTATTAACTGGTCTTCCCAGTAGGGGCATGGATATTAGCCTATCGACGACAGCACTGTACCTCATGACTAATCTGGAATATGTTCTTTTTGACAATGAATGCAACACCATACCTTTTCAATTTGTCATTCCCGGCATAGTAAACCATGTGGTTGTCAGATTCAAAATGGCCAATACCAGTCTATTTCAGCTCATTAATGTCTACGATATTGATGTTTATGCATTCCATTTCATTTTTTGACAATTTTTAATTTTACTAAATTAATACTTCATACATTCCATGTTCTGATTATTAATGGCTGTTTACAGCTGTTTCTCTTCATTTTGAGTTGTGCCCCATCAGCAAATGAAGGTCCCATGGGCTTTCCTCCCATGGGCATTACTCCATTCACATCATCACAGTAAACTCTACCTTGAGGAGTCAGCTCTTCCCCAATCACATTTTGAGTGCCTTTCAACTTAAGGGGCTCATTTTCCAGCACTATAACTGACAGTGTTTCTCTGCTATTCATAAGGTTTTCAGTGACTAAATATTTGGAAGTAGTTTGTTACTCCTCCTTCCTAGTCTGTCTTCATCTGGATGCTCATCTGAAACCTGTTCACCATGGATGACCCTGCTGGTATTTAAAATACTGGTGGCATAGCTTTCAGAATCACAGCAACTCACAAGCCAACAAAGTACAATAAGCTGACAGACAAGTGGTGCATACAATCAAGCAATCGAGTTGTATTCATCATTGATCAAGTGGTGCATGAAAACATGCAATCAAGCTGTACCAGTCATAAGTGGTGATTGGAATGCAAAGGTTGGGAACAAAGAGGAAGGATCAGTAGTTGGAAAATATGGCCTTGGTGATAGAAATAATGCTGGAGATCGCATGATAGAATTCTGCAAAATCAATGATTTGTTCATTTCAAATACCTACTTTAGACAGCATAAGAGACGACTAAACACATGGACCGTGCCAGATGGAATACATAAAAATCAAATTGACTACATCTGTAAAAAGAGATGGTGGAAAAGCTCCACAACAGTCAAAACAAGGCCAGAGGCAGACTGTGGAACAGACCATTAATTGTTCATATGCAAATTCAAACTGAAGCTGAAGAAAATGAAAACAAATCCAGAAGAGCCAAAATATGACATTGAATATATCCAACCTGAATTTAGAGATCATCTGAAGAACAAATTTGATACATTAAACACTAAAGACTAAAGACCAGAAGAGTTGTGGGATGACTTCAAGAACATCATATATAAAGAAAGCAAAAAGTCATTAAAAAGACAAGAAAGAAGGAAAAGATCAAAATGGATGTCACAAGAGACACTGAAACTTGTTCTCCAGCACAGAGCTGCTAAAGCAAATGGAAGAAATGAGGAAGTACAAGAGCTGAACAGAAAATTTCAAAGGTCATCTTGAGAAGATAATGTCAAATATTAGAACAAAATGTGCAGAGATCTGAAGTCAGAAAACCAAAAAGGAAGAACACACTCAGCATTTCTCAAACTGGGGCATTTGAAGAAAAAATTCAAGCCTAGACTTACGTTATTGAAGGATTCTCTGGGCAAATTGTTTAGTGATGCAGAAAGCATCAAAAGAAGATGGAAGGAATACAGAGTCACTGTACAAAAGGAAATGGTTAATGGTCAACCGTTTCAAGAGGTACCATAAGATCAAAAACCAATGATACTGAAGGAGGAAGTCCAACGTACATTGAAGAAATTGGCAAAGAACAAGGCACCAGGAGTTGATGGAATAAAAATTGATATCTTTCAAGAAAGTGAGGCGGCACAGAAGGCACTCACTCATCTATGCCAAGAAATTTGGAAGACAACTATCTGGCTGACTGATTAGAAGAGATCCATATTTGTGCCCATTCCAAAGAGAGGTAACCCAACAGAATGCAGAAATTATCAGACAATCTCTTTGATATTCTATGTGAATAAATTTTAGTAAAGGTAATACAGACATGGCTGCAACCATACACTTACAAAGAACTTTCAGAGGTTCAAGCTGGATTCAGAAGAGGCCGTGGAATGAGAGATATCATTGCTGATGTCCAATGGATCTTGGCTGAAAGTAGAGAATATCATAAAGATGTTTACATGTGCTTTATTGACTTTGCAAAGGCTTTCAATTGTGTGGATCATGACAAGCTATGGACAACATTGCAAAGTATAAATATTTCAGAACACTTAATTGTGCTCATGAGGAATCAGTACAGGGACCAATAGGCAGTTGTTAGAATAGAACATGGGAACACTGAATGGTTTAAAATTAAGAAAGGTGTGTGACAGGATTGTATTCACTATACTTATTCAACCTGTATGCTGAGCAAAAAATCCAAGAAGCTGGGTTTTATGAAGAAAATGTGGCATCAGGATTGGTGGAAGGCTCATTAACAATTTGTAATATGCAAATGATACAACCTTGCTTGCTGAAAGTGAAGAGGACTTAAAATATTTACTGATGAAGATCAAAGAGCACAGCCTTCAGTATGGATTGCATTTCAGTGTAAAG